GCTGTGCCCCTCTTCGGTGTTTCTTTTTGATTGTCGCGCGCTCCAAGGGACATCAGGATAGATACGTATCGCACAGGATTCGTGTTTTAGCGCGCTTGCGGAGAGCAAAACATTTTCCACGTCGGTTGAGGATTCTAGAGTTACTCGAATAAGTCTGGGTTCACCATAGTGTGGCGAGTTCGGATGACGAGTAATTCGTAACAAGTTTACGGGCTTGGCTATGATACTCATCTGCATACACAATGAGTTCCATTGGTCTTGGTCGTCTGATAACTTATCCCGCAATGTGATGGCGGTAGATTCAGGGACATTTGAGCATACAACAGTCCGGGCACTGTTGTTGGATCCCTTTCTCGTCGATCTACAAGGTATGGTACTCATTTGTCTTGACTTGTTGACAAGTGATTGTTTGCTGTTTTTCTCTCCATTTGCGGTAACGGTGTTTACAATGGAAGAGGACGCAACGGCGGCCTCTCGGTGGACCCTTGCAGCAATCTCTGCATATGTAACCGATGTTCTGGGAGGCTTAGTCTCGACAAGAGATATTTGAGCTACAGGTACCAAGGGTTGGTGTTTGGCTGCTCCATCCTTGTTAATACTAGATGTCAGGTCTAGTGGAATATGCTTAACCAGACGTTTTGAATGGTGCCTGATTTTCTTTGCTGTGAGTACTGCTTGATTCACGTAGGTACAGTCTGTTTTCGCCCGGCGTTCTACCAAAGTTGGAGAAGACAACGGAGATGGTGACATGGCTGATTGCGGTGCAGGCGAATCGATTTGTTCAGCATTCCGTTGCTTAGCAGCCGCTACGCTTCTGTGGTCCATACTCGCTCCCATTGAAGTAATCTCATTGTTTATCCTCTGCTCTGCTTCTGCGATTAACCGGTCGCATTTCTCAGCTAGGATAAGGAAGCACTTAACGAGGGGGATGGTGGAACACGCAGTACAGAACCAAAATGCATCTTGGGAGCTATTTCGCTCCCGTAACTGTTGTTGGGACACATTTGCACATTTCGTATGGTACCATTCCAAACAGTGCGAACAAGCTAGACCGATTTTTACTACCCGATGACATTCTCCTAACCCGCAAATGCCTTTCGATGGGAGTCTCTTCGGTTTCGCCTTTCTGCCATTCAGTTTGCTGTCGTTACCTGGCCCAGTGAGTTGGTTAGCGTTCTGTACTTTTACAGCTTTGAGAGCGGCGCACATCGGTCAGGCGAGCGTGGTGGTTGCAAGGTCAAATGAGCGGTCGGCGTGGTCGCGCGGTCCGTGTGATGGGTAATGCAGCCGCACTGGCTGACAAGGTCACAAGGAATGGCGAGTGACTGCAACCTGAACAGAGCGCTGAACACAGCTTCTTTCACAGCTGTGTTGAGAAACACTGGATCGGAGTAAGCTTAGGCTTTTCGGCCTGCCTCGAGAATTCTGTATCGAATGGTGTCACACAGATTGACAATCGGCTCAATACGATTGAATTAAACGCTTGCGCTTAATCACAGATGCCAGTGAAAACGCTTATTGATGGCACAGCCTCTAATCGTAGAAGATATTTCCACGTATGATGGATCACTGTGTAGAGCTGGTAAATCCGGTTCGAATGAGCGCACAGTGACAACGCTGCGAGAAGATGGAGAGAGGATAGAGGGAAATAATCCAAATGAACCAGTAGCACGCACGTCACACGTGTGTGAGGATGACGGCTGTTTCCGTCTCCGAGGCATGATGAGACTATCAGGCTTTGCGGTCTTTCTTCAGGCTAACACGCAGTTTTGCCCTGAGATGTTTGCGAGTCTCATTGTATTCGCCTCCAGCTGGAGTACGTTGGCGAGCATCCATATGTTCCAGACTTTTTAAAGACTGCTTGTCTAGGTTGGCAATTTGATTTGCCACATGAAGACTTGCCTGCTGATAGTAACATTTGCTGCATATGTGACCAGTGATCTTCAACGGTCTTCAGTGGGCAGTTTTTCAGTCCGCTTGTCAGCGTACTTTGCTACACGTGCAGAACTCCTGTCTTCGCCAGCTGGCTGGTGTCAATCCGTTCATATCGACGTCGCGAAGGTCCACCGAAACGCACCCGGAGGTAGGCGCAGACAATGCATGGTCAGAGTCCACCCTCGTGCTTCAAATTGAACAACAGTGCTGGATACAGCCTCTCTCTCTCTCTCTCTCTCTCTCTCTCTCTCTATATATATATATATATATATATATATATATATATATATATATATATATATATATATATATATATATATATATATATATATATATATATATATATATATATATATATATATAGCCTTTGGCAACGCATAAAGACAGTGAGTGAGTCATTTGGGTTGACCTGGTGACCAGTCTTCAGTAGATGCCTCGTGATTGCCGAAGTTGTCCTGCCTCTGATTTCACCGGTTTCACCGTCTCAAATCCAATTCGTTTGCACAACAATTTAGGGCTACGATCATCGATCCTGACACCTAGACTTCAGTCAGTGTGCCCAATATAGTTGCCCCATAGCTACTGATACATTTGTATAAACGGAGGGACATACGCTTCTTCGTCACTGGTGTCTTCAATGAGCACATAACCAATGGTCTTGTCGATGTGAGTAATCGCGACTCTGACGCATTATACGCCTTTTTCAAAAAGGCTGTTATCCGTTTCGTGGTTAATTTCATGATGTAGTCACGTTTGAACGGCAGCCCAATGAAAACGGGCTCTTCTGGACAGTCGTCATTGGTTCTCGCTTCGCCGTGTCACAAACGCGCTTTATGAAATGCAAAGGGTAACCATTGGATTGCAACGGGTGGGACAGAAAGTCTCTTTCTGCTTCAAGTAGGTCCGGCGTACAAATTAGGTAGACTGGATGGAGCAAGGTCTGGATCAGAGAACGTTTGAGTAGTGTTGGTGAGAATGTTTTAAAATGTAGCCATTGGCCCCTCCAGGTTGTTTTTCGGTAGACTGACCATTTGATGGAACCATCCGGCCTTCGTATGGACAAAACGTCGAGGTATGGTAGGCGGTGGTCATGCTCAGTCTCACAGGTTACAGTGAGGTATGAGTGCATACGTGCGTTTGCTTAAGATGTTGCCTGCACAAAATCATCATCTGAATAGATGATTAGAAGTATGTCAGCCGCATATCGTTTGTACAGCGTTGCAGATCTTATTATATCATCGCAGTCCCTTTCAATTATTCTCATGAATATATCTGCTAGCAAAGGACCCAACGGGCTACGCCTCGCCACACCGTCTATTTCCCTATACGGTCCCCTTTGAAAGTAAACTTTGGCGTTCTCCGTACACAGAGGAAGCTTATCGTTCAACGTTTCCGCAGGAAGCCGTAGTTTGATATTGTTTTGCGAGATAAATACACATAGGTGATGTAGGTTTCCTCCATGAAGTATCTAATGAACACTGGCCACCAGGTCAACTCAAATGACTCATTAACTGTCCTCATACGCAATCAAAGTCTGCATATACTCAAGCTACTTGAAGCCATCGTAATCGATCACGAGCGGCGGCCTCTGTGCGTACCGAAGCAGTGGACAGTAACATTGAGCCTGCCGTGGTTGTGCCGCAGTACTAGTTGGTCACCAGCTGTCCACCAATAGACCACATCTGACCTTGCTTGTTTTCAACTTGTTAGTTGTCTTGTACATGACTGAAGAGAAGAAACAAAATGATTGGGTCATCTCACAGCATACGTCTTCTGCGTATTCTCGGGTGGCTTGGCTAATGCATGCGTGACATACCTATGGCCTACCTGGAGATTTGCCTAAGTTTGCAGGTTATACTTGTTACTTGTTACTTGTGTGGTACAATAAAAACTGGGAGTTTTGATACAAGTAGGGAAGTCATCTGTAGTGTGATCAACTACGTTAAAATTAATGGTCTTTATTACTACATTTCAGCGATATGTACTCCTAATTTCCAATATCCAAGCGCAATGCGAAGAGCTGTATCAGCTTTTTTTAAAAACTGTTATGCATAACCAGGTTATAGCGATAAAATTCGCTAATTGGAGATGTCAAGTCGGACTCGTGTGTCAGATGAGTATAGTGACACATTATGTGCGCTGGTTGATTTCAGTGCACGATTAAATTGTGAATGTGTTAGCCTCGTTGTACCAAGAACCTGACTTGGAGTTGAGATCGTTATCCGGCTTTTCTATATGCTACTTTACCGGTTTGGAGACTTTATGGACCATTTGGGGTGTTCAGTTTGAAAAGGCACTGAACTTTTGTGTCTCCAAGCAATTACATTCCATACGTCAGTTCTTCAGGCTATCTCAGTGATATAGAAGCAACTGGTGATCTGTGGCTTTATAGAGGCCCCATATAGCACAAGGAGTATACTCCGTTTTTCAAGTGAGCAGACAAAGAATGTGTAAATACACTGGCCTAACCAGCACTTTAGTAAACTGATGTTGTCGGTAACAATTCATATTGCCCCATAACTGTATGAAAGTCTAACGACAACCGCAGCGGAGATAAAACTCATTTTAACCACGGAAGCTTTCGCGCCTTCAGCTGATGGCACTCACTTGGGTGCACTTCGCAAACTGTGAAAGGCATATGACGACATTTTGGCTAAGATCAACACATACAGGATGCACTTTTTGAGCAGGAAGCGTAAAGCGCTTAACAGTATTGTGGACATTCATACAGTTTGTATCTTACTTCGTATATTGGCAGTTTAAACAATTCATGCAACATAAAACCCTTTTAAATGACGGAGCTACGGCTTATAAGAACTAACAGGTCTTTGGGCCCTGACTCTAACCACCCCACACTGTGGGGACTTTAATCAACCCAACAGTGGTGTATCATGGGTTCTGTTGCATATAGAGCAGGTCGGTGTGTTAGGACTTATTAAATCTCCGTAATGTCACCATACTTGTCACACTGTCGATACCTGTTTCATCGCAATCGTGTTAAGTCGGTTAGTGGTTCTAAAGTGCTTTATTTTCCCCCGGTTTACATATGTCCTCCTTACTTTTAGAGGGTACGGTGACGGTCCATTGCAAGGTTAGGGCAACGGATCCTCTGCAGTTTTACTACACCAAATGGAATAGTAATCACTCGTACGTGTTAGGCACTCAACCGCATGACCCACGGATTGAGGTCCGATTTGAACTGGACGCCGAAGATGCTCTGAACCACAATCTCTACTTGACTATACGTAACGCCAGGTAAGTGGAAACTGCCTACCGGCTGTGTGTGTACACTAACAGAATGGTGAAATATTTTTCTCTTGTTTTTCTGGAGACAACCATCCGGATTTATTTGTTCAATATAAACCCAACACAAAACATCGTAGGAATGCCGTCCAAATCATGGCTGTATCCTTCAACTTACTACTGTAGATTCCACCATATCCTTTTATGCGGGTCAATACCAAGTATCACCGATGATGTTATTGTTTGCCTTGTGTACATTGTTAGGGTTTATACTCTCTTCATTTCTGAGTAGCAGAAGCTGTGTTGTTTCTGAGTCGCAGTTCATGTTTAAACTTCTTGGGACCAAAGGTGTTCAGATTTACATGACACAAATATGAGTATATTACAAAGCTTCGGCTTTTCGGAGCAGTCCATACTATCAATTGGGAGTGGAGAAAGTTTTACCGGCTGATGTACGAGTGTTGCTACTTTGTTACGAACAATGATATATTACAGTTGAAAAAGGGAATGCTTTACAAGTTTCGTAGGATGATTGAAGTGAAATCAAACATAAGTGTAAATCGTCAGTTTGAGCGTCTAGCGATTCAGATGCCCTGCTACATTAAACATTTTAGAATGCGTATTGAATTGTTACTGTAGAGTAATATAGGGGAAGTAATATGAGGAAGGTATGTCTAAAAAACAAAAGAAACGATAACGCTTACTCGTGCGCCGATTTTTGCACTAAGGTAATTGATGAATGTACTTGTAGTATATCCGAACGATATTCCACAGTAGCAACGTGTAAGTAGTAATGCGCGAAAGCTGAAAATGAGCACATTTGGTTCGCGTTTGGATAACGTAGACATCACTGATGATATATCGTAATGTAAGTGGATAAGCAAATCATCTAGACGTCTTTGGATACCGTTAGCGTGGTGTAAGAAACACCCTATGTGGGAAGAACGTTCCAGTATTGGCACACAGGAAGGGAAAAGCAATTCCGGCAGCATGCCAAGCGGCTGTATTGTGTGGCAAGCTTTAGCTGGTGTCCTCTGAGTGTGATATTACGATTCAGCTTTAGTAGGTGACAACAAGAATACTTTGGATTCCTCAGGATCATATAAATCATTATCAAGCCGCCAAGCAGGCATCGATATTGTCCACTGTAGACCCCGAGGGTTTTCAGCCTCAATCGGTAATGGAGATGAAACAGGCCCTTTACATTCTTGGCCGCCCTTCGTTGTGGCAGTTCAAGAGCGGTAAGGTCTTGCTTTTGCCACGGCTTCCAGGCCTGGATGGCGTACTCAGAATGAGGCCGAATGTAGGCGTTGAGAATCTGAGAAAAGATGGAAGGATCAAAGCGCCGAATGCCCTCCGCAAAAGACCAAGGTGTTGGTTAGCTTTCTTGGAGTCTTTCTCGGCCTGACGGGTACAGCCCAGATCTTCCTGCACTATCACGCCTAGATTGCATTCCCTTGAAGTGCGCTGCAATATTTGATCTCCCAGTCTGTATTCGCAAGTGGCTTTATGGCCTATGCCAAACCTATTACTTTTCGTAGAGTTACACTGAAGCAGCTTCTGAGTCGACCATTTGTAGACCTTGTAAAGACCATCCTGAAGTGCTGCATTGTCGCTGGTTGTTCTAATGGCTCGCCATATCTTGAGATCATCAGCGAAGAGTAAGGAATTGGAGGTGATTACTGTCGCGAGATCGTTTATGAAAATCAGGAATAGTCGTACACTAAGTACTGAGCCCTGGAGCACTCCGCACTTAACGTCGATTGGGTCAGAGATAACGCCGCGAATTCTTACATTCAGATGTCGTTGAAGCAAGAAGTTATCTATCCAACCGAGGATTGGGTCACCATTTCCACAAAACGGCAGCTCGTGAAGGAGGATACGGTGGTTCAGACGGTCAAAGGCATTTGAGAAGTCCAGATATACTGCATCAACACCTACGCCGCTGTCGACGGTCTCAGTCCAACTGGATCCAGCATGTAGCAACTTTGAAATGCAAGATCGGTTCTTGCGAAATCCATGTTGTTCTTATGTTATGATATTGCGTTCTTCCAAGTAGTTCATGAGCGCTTCGGTAACAATCGCTTCCATGCTTTTGGAGAGCACCGGAAGTAGTGTTATCGGGCGATGTTTGGCCGGATCTGTACGACTTCCCCCCTTATGAAAGGGAGTGACGATGCCCTGCTTGCACATTGCTGGCACCCGCATCTCATCGAGGCATCGTTGAAAGGACTTGGAGAGTGGGTTCGCCAGGTTTACTGCAGCCAATTTCAACGCCTTTGGACGAATATTATCAACACCGGGAAAAGTATGCCCGCGCAAGGCCATTAGCCTTTTCATAACATCCGCAGTCGTAAACCTGATTTGGCTAAGTCCTGATGGTGGTACAACGTGCGGGAACAGTGTATGCGTTGAAGTCGTGCTCTGGAAGTTCGGGGCGAATTGTTGACATGGGGCGTTGGCCGCCTCGGTTGCGGTTTGTGCGAGTCCACATAACGTGTGTAAGGCAGGAATTCCTCGCTGTACTTTGCGGAGCTTGTCAACGTATCTGTACAGGAGCTTGGGTTTGAAAGGAATTTTTTAGCTACATTCTGTTGGTGCTGCATTTTATCTTCGCGTACCGGGTTTACGCAGTGATTCCTTTGGATAGTGTAGGCTTCCCATGTTTCGGCACTCGGTGAGTCCTCGTATCTTTGCCAGAGTAATTTCCTCGTGACGATACACTACCGTGTCCTGCTGCTTATGAATGATTTTACTGTCTTCGCTCGCGAAGACGTTTTTCTAGAAGCACTAGTTACTAACGTGTTGAATTGGTGAGCAAATTCAGACCAGGCGCCATCGGGGGATCGTTCTGCTAGAATTGCCCAGTTTGTAGCATTTATAAGTTTGATTAGAGCGCCGTTATCCGTACTGAGCTGACACTCCTCTGTGTTTTCTGAGTAATGCTCTGCATAACAGATGCAATTGAACATAAGCATCGCATGGTCGACACGGCCCAAAGGACTCTCTATCGATACCGTTTTGATCAAAAGCTCTTCATTGGTGAATACGACATCCAGGACACCCGGTTTGTTTCCCGTCCTGAATCTTGTGGGAGATGTGATGTGATTGTTGTCTGGCAATTTACTAAGTATTTAATGTACTTCCATTTTGAAGTGTTCGTTGACACAGACTGAGGTTTCTATGATATGAATATTGAAGTCATCAAGCAGGATAATGTGGCTGTACGACTGCGAGAGAATGGTCTTCATTGTGGAGGCTAGGCGGTTGTCCATTTCCAAAGTAGCCGACGGAGGGCGATACACCACACGCAACAAATATGCGTCCCCACGGCTTAGGTGAAGACGGCACCAAAGCGCATCGACAATCTGAACCTCTGGGTCATCGATGAGATCAAGGTGTAGTTCGCTGCGATAATAAAGTAGTACTCCACCTCCTCTACTTGGTCGATCGTTGCGTAGAATAGACATCCCATGTAGTGCGATTTCTGCATCAGTGATCGCTTCATTCAACCAGGTCTCGGTTATCATAACGAGGTCCCTTGACATCGAGGCCTGACGCAGGCGAAGCTCCGTCAGTTTGCTTAAAAGACCTTGTGCGTTGGTATAAAAACAGGAGAGTGATTCATAGGTTAGAAGGTTGTTTGTGGATGTAGACAACAGGTTTGAGACTTGGCCGACCCTCTTGAGGTCGGCTGCTACTAGTTTTTTTGAATAGTCTTAGGCTCGCGAGAATGACTTGGAATAACTCTCTGCACCATGCAATCAGGTTCATGATGATCCTGATGGTCACTCACCTCCTGCGGTGTCTCGCCGGATGCTATGACGGCTGTCAGATCAGTCTCTGTGGTGGACTCTGCAACAACGGGTGTTCCCACTGAGTTGGTTCTCTCCATTGAGTAACCAGTAGCCTCTGGTCGTAAACCTGCTGCTTTTAGTCGAATTTCTGTTGGTAGCATGTTCCGGAAGTTACCCCAGTTCTCTAGAACTGTCTGTAAAGTTAGCTCAGACGGTAAGACCAACTTCAGCAACCTAGGACCACACCCTTTGTAATTTGGTGACACGGGAATCCTTGTCAGGGAGGTAGCAATGACATTTTCTAAAGACAGCGCCTCACGAATGTATCGCCATTGCTCCAGGTCATGTGCCTGAGCTTCTTCAGGAGATGAAGCTTGAGACTCGGGGACGCCATGAATAATGACGGTTTTCAGCTCGTGTTTTCTACTTCCCTGTTGATTGTTCATATCCTTTGAACGTTCTTTCCACGGAATATCCGGTAAGATACATACTCCGTTCGATGCTCTGTGGTGTCGATTCGCAGCGAGCAGAATGGATTCCGTTTCGTCCGCGGAATGTAGTGTTACTCGAAGTAGTCGAGGCTCACCATAGTGTAGGGAGTTTGGGTGTCTTGCGATGCATCTCAGCGTCGTGGGTTCAGCGCGCATGCTGATGGCACTACAGATGGAATCCCACTGACTGCGATCGTCTATCAATTTACCCCTTATTGTGTTGGGCTCGGTTTCAGGAACGTTAGTGCACGTATGACTTAAGGCACCATGATCCCGCCTTGGGATTCGCGATTTAAGAACACTAGGTTCCTTTGTTTTTTGTAGATTTGCGGATCGCACTGGCGATAGCGATCCATGTTGAGGCGAGGTTTTACCCTCCCCGGTAACCGGAGTCACAGGTGTCTTTGACAGCGTTTTCTTAGAAGCAAGCGCTGCGTAAAATGTCCAGTTATTCTTTACCGTGGGCTTGCTTATTGTTGTTGCTTCCAGTATGTTAACTGAATTACTAGTTATCACACCATTGGAGAAGGTAGAAGCAAGTGGGTTGTAAACGACTTTTTCATTTAGTGGAGTCATGTGGCTAGGGAAAGTTGGAGACTGAGACGCTATGGTGAGGTTGGGACGCCTGGCCCTCTTCTTCAGCCTAAACGGGGAGTTTGTAGGTGTTCGTTCAGATGTAAGTGTAGCATTGTTTACTTTCACAGATGCGTTGCTAGCGTTCACC